GGCGGCGGTCCCGGCCGGTGCGCGCCGCAGACCCTCGTCTGTGTGTGCGCTGGGGCTCGGAGACGCGGCCCTCCCCGGGGACAGCGGGGGAGGGGCAATGCCCCGGCGGAGCGGAGCGGCGAGCAGCCAGGCCTCCTAACGCCGTGCATCCTGTGCGCGGGACACAGGCGATCTGTGCGCGCTGTGATTTTTCTGTTTTGCCACCGGGCAGTGTGAGGCTTCACCCAAAGTCAGGTCGGGGCCGTTCTTGACTGCTGCGGAAGTTGGCGGCCCCACCCCTCTTGGAGCAGGAATGGAGGAGGCCTGCCAAGAGCCTGCAGGCCAGGGGCAGCGATTGCAGGGCTGCCAAAAGTGGGCGTGTCCTCCCGTTGTAAAGAGAGACTCAGTACAGAGAAATGACAGGAATTTTTCTCCCTGTGCTGGCTTTGGTCAGTTTTTATTGTGACCTTGATGCATCTTATTTCCTATTCTGGTCGTTTAATGACTGAGAAAACAGCAGTTCAAAGAGGTGAGGACTTAGGGAGATTTAGTACAGGCTGCCCCACCCTGAAGCTCTCCCAGTGTTCTCTGCAACCGGTCAGTTCCTTCTCCCTGCAGGCTCTTTGGATGCTCCCTGGACTCCTGGTCACCTCTGTACTTTACCTCGATCTTTCAGCACCTGCTCCATCCACCTGGACGCTTCCATACTTCCTCCTAACTGGCTGCCTTGTTAGGCAAACAGAAGAAACTTAGTCCTGGACCTCCACGCTTGGTCTCTGCTATTCCTGCCATCAGGAATGTCAGCCTCAGCCTGAAGCAGAAGAGACTGAAGAACCTGTGAGATTCAGGTCAGGTTTGGAACCTTTGGGTGAGGGAGGACTGCCACACTGTAAGATGCTAGCATTAGTGGGTAATGGGTGAGCTCCCCCGCTGTCCTTGAAACGTTTCTGTAAGTCTAAAACCTGTAAATCCCTTTAATCACCTTTAATCCCAGCACTCAGGAGGCAGAGGCAGGTGGATCTCGGAGCTCAATGAATGCCAGCCTGGTCTACAGAGTGAGTTCCAGGGCAACCAGGGGATACACAGAGAAACCCTGTCTCAAAAACAAACAAATAAACTGTATAATGTCTGAGGAAAACAAAACCTAAACATCCTGATTTCACTTTCCTGTTCTAGGCCTTTGCGGACACATTAAATGCAAGTGGGTACTTCCTGTCTGTCCAGTGCCAGGAGGCACAGGACTGGCCCTGCCCCTGAAGGTGAGGCCCAGGCAGTCTCCAGTGGCAGGGTAGTGAGCCAGGACTCGGGGCACATTACAACCATGAAGGTGAAGGTGCCGCAGGGTATCGGGAACATGCACCACATGACTTAGTATGTTGGCCAACTGTGAGCCTGCCCTCCCCCTTTGGGGAGGATATCTGCCTAGCCCGAGTTGGTACCCAACTGCTCCAAGATCTTCCCAAGTATCCTGTTTTCACTTAGTATCCTTATATGTCAGACCTGAGGCTAGACTGGGCAGGATTGCCCCAAGGATACACTCACCCCCAGCCAGCTAAGACCCCGGAAAAAATAATTCTCCCCCAAGCCGGTGTAGTGGTCCCACCTTGATTCCATCGCTCCAGCAGCAGAGGCAGACAGATCTCTGAATTCAAGGTCAGCCTGGTCTACATAGTGATTTCCAGGACAGCCAGGGCTACACAGAAAAAGCTGTCTCAAGGAAGAGAGACTGGTTCTCCCCTGGGCCTTGCTCCCTGCTGGCTCCATGGAGCAGCTCTAGAGCAGGCGTCATCTGCTCTTCACTGCTCTGTGTGGTAAGTGGTCCTGGGAGAGCCTGCTGAGGACACACTGCCGCCTCCCGAGAGAGTCCTGGAGAGAGCCCAGCCCATCCTAAAGCTGATACTCCCCCTGTGGTTCTTATTCCCAGTGTTCGCCTTCTGAACAACAGAAGACACAGCCAGCTGCCACATTTGTCTGGCCCAACAGTGAGTTCTGTGTACCCCATCCCTGTTGCCAGCACTGCCTCATGTTCTGAGCCCCATCCAAGGGCCCTGGGGCTCTTATGTGAGGTTCAGGTTGCCAGCTCCATCCCTGCTGACTGCACCTTGGATCCTGATCACTGCCTGGCTTCCACCTCTGCCCCTAAGTTAACTGACTGCCCCAAGCCCTGGGCCCAGCAGTCTGAGGCTTCCAGTTACATACAGTTAGTCTGAGTAGCCACAGAAGTTCTGTCCTTGATGAAGTTGGACACCCATTCAGACGGGTAGGAAGTCAAATGGAGACGGAGTGTGCTGTCCATCCCATGCCCCCCTCCCCGACTCTGGAAGAGGCAGAAGTGGGCAGGGCCTGGACAACCAAGAAAATGGGGCAGTTTCGGTTTCAACTCCCTGACCTCAAAATGAGGGATTGGAGCATAGGGAGTGAGAGAGTCCCATTCTCCATCCTTTCCAGGGTCCCTTGCTATTCCCGGTTCATCACCATCAGCTCTAGTGACCCCAGATAGGCTGAGGGCTACAAGGGACAGGACAGGTTAACCTCCCCACTGTGCCTGGGCTCTGGCTGGCAGCTGGCTGCAGGGAGTCAGGATGCAGGGAGCAGCGCCTGACTAGGAGGAGATCAGGGCTGGACAGTGGGCAGAAAGCGATCGCTCTGGCTGTTCTGTGCCCTGCAGCTGTTCCCCCTGCCATAGCTGGCGTGCACTAGAGGAGGTAGGCAGAGGGTAGGTAGTCTGGAGTTTTGCAGGACGCTCAGAAGGGGTACTCTGACTCTACCATTGCCCTCTGGTAGGCGGGAGGGAGGCGTGACCTGGGTGGGGCCCACTGGGAGTGCGCTCTGCAGGGCGTGGGAACCTGCCCTGAGTTAGCCGGGCTTGCACTCACAGGCCCAAGTCCAGTGTCTGGCCCATGGTGATGGTGTGCGGAGCAATCCAACTGCTAGCCGCTCTCCACCGGCATCCTTGGAGCCGGTCCACTCGCCCTTTCCTTCTTCAGGGTCAGCGCTGGTATCGCGGGGAGAAACCTGTCTTCAGAGGGGGCAATGGACCTCAGAAGGAAAACCAATGGGGTGGGTGGTCGGGATGTGAAAAGGCTGCCTCAGACTTCAAGGCATGGGAAGCCCGCCCCCCACTACACACACACACACACACACACACACACACACACACACACACACTGCAGACAGGAGGAAAGCGAGGCACGCTCGGGCTTCGGGCTTCACCTCCCCTTCGTGAGACCTCGGCCTGGGGCAGAGCAGGTAAACGCAGGGCTTTCCAGGGTGGGCGCGGGCTGGGGGCAGGGACACTTCCCGGGGGTTCGAGCTTGGAGTCCAGAGCCCAGCAGATGGCGCCCCTGGCATGGGCCATGTGGAAGGCAGGTCAGTGGTTGGCCCGTGTCATTCCCGCGTGAACCGCCAGGTGGGTCCCGATACTGGCCCTTACTGAGGTTGAAAGGCGTGCAGCTCACAGGTTCCAAGTCATCCTCGCTTCAAAGGCCAAGAAGGACCCTAAAGTTACTAACCACGCAGGGCTAGGGCTGACCCGCCGCCGCTGAGTCACCTCTGCCAGGGTAACCACGGCAGGGTTGCCGCCAAGCAATGAATGACCTCGCCTGGCGGCGCTGACGCACAGGGAGGAGGTGGGGCTGGGGCGGCCAGCACCCAGAACAGCTGGGACTCACTGCCAGATAGGACCAGACCATCGGATATCCGGGAGCAGATGCACACCCTGACCTGGTGTGTCTAATGACTAGTGTGAGAGCTTGCGCCCAGCTGCCTCGCCTTGTACTTCCTGGATGTCATGGGGTCATACCGTCTCTGAGCCACCTAACAGCCATCGTTTCTCAGAAAAGGGAAAGGGTGGTTCAGAGAAGGCAGTGCCGGTCGCAGAGCCGGAAGTGACTATAGAGGAGGTGAAGACTCAGCCCGCTCCACACACTTGCTGAGTCAAAGGGTATATTTATTTATTTTTTTCTCTTCTACCTCCTTATCTTTCCTTTTTAATTTTTGAGACAAGGTCTTGTTATATAGCTGCTCTGTAGACCAGGCTGACTTCAAAGTCATAGAAACGCTAGGATTGAAGGCCAGCACCGCCTTGCCTCGTGGTTTTTGTTTTGTTTCTTTCTTTTGGCTTGGTTTTTTGAGACAGTTTCCCTGTGTAACCCTAGCTGTCTTAGAACTCACTCTGTAGACCAGGCTGGCTTCGAATTTACAGAGATCCTCCTGCCTCTGCCTCCTAGTGCTGGGATTAAAGGTCAACATTGCCTTGCCTCGTTGCCTTTTTGTTTGGGTGGGGGGTGGTTTTAGTTTTTTCCAGACAGGGGTTTTTCTGTATAACAGTCCTGGCTGTCCTGGAACGCAGTCTGTAGACCAGGCTCATTGTCTTTTTCATGGAGTAAGTATGTGACTGTTTCCTTGACTTCCAGCATTTGGTGGAATTTTTTTATTTTTTACAAAGAGTCATTTGTGTGTAGTTGTGTGTGTGTCATGTGGATGCAGGTGCTCGTGGAGGCTGTGTCTGTCTGTGCGTGTGTGTGTGTGTGTGTATAAGTGTTATGTGGATACAGGTGCTCGTGGAGGCTGTGTCTGTCTGTGCGTGTGTGTGTGTATGTGTATGTGTGTGTGTATAAGT